GTCCCAGAGAATTCCACGTCGCGCATGATCTGCCGACGCCGGGACTGGTCGGAAAAGGCGGAGAGGTGGTCGGTGTATGACATGGTGTCGTGGTATGAAAGAAAGCTGCAAAGGGCTGGCTTGTGTCGGTCCTTCACGACTCCCTGACTGGGGTCCCAGAGATATTGCAACAGTGGCAAGAGACGTTACCAGATATGGCTTAGAATACAGGCCAGTAGCGATCCTGCTGTAACCTTCTTTTACTTTCTTCATTAAAAATGGTTGCTTCTTCCTAAACTGAAAGATCTCTTTTGATTGTACCTTATCGTTTCCCCCATTATTATTATAAGTATCAATATTATTACACTATCCTACACTGATCTGTTCGTTATTGTTCTTTTTTTCACGCTCCTTACTTTTTTTTCATCCCTTCAAATTCCCATTGTTTTGTGTGGCGCATATATATTTGGTGCCCTCTTGTACCAATATTTATATGTTCAAATAAACTAAGTAGTAACAGTATCAGTGATAGTACGAAACACTAAATATGGACGTTATAACTTGAGTAGAAAGAATGAATTTGTAGTATAAAACAGTTTAAAAATGCAAAATTCACTGGGTAAGCGAACCGTCAATCCACCAACATGAATCATCGCGATCGATTCAACAATTCTAACCGTTGATCACGATAACCACAAGAACCTCAGCTAGGTAATCTACACTCACACGTTAAACTCAGTGAATTGATGGAATGATACCACGTTTGAGTAAGCACATACCTAGCATTCTTACAAAACATCCCCATAACAATCCACATTTAAATGTGAGGTGAAAGGTGGTTCAGTTACATGAGACATATTTCATACAACGAGGTCAATCAAGCTTCACTACAGCACCGACGTTGTCAACCAATTCCCAGATTTACTCATTACTCTGAAACCCACCTCATTAATGTCCACTTCAGTAAAGCTCAAAATAAATTATGGAGTATGTAGAAAATCAATTACCAATAGTCTGTACAATTTGATGACCAGTGCTCTCAAATCCTCAAAAGACAGTTAAGACTAGAAATTAAATGCTTACAGTTTTAATATAATAATTCATTGGGATTATCAGACAGTTAGTACAAACTCCCAGTTCTAGTACTATTAAAAACACAGTTCACAATGAAAACCTGGTGATATATTTGTACAGTAGACATTTCCAACAAAGGTCACATACATACTCAAGGCATATACATGTAGCAAGATAAAATAATGAATGTCAACCAACTGAAAACATGAAATAAATCCGAAGTGATAAATGCAAACCGAAGAATCAGTAGATTATAAGACAATCTGTACAAAAATAATTTGTTCTAAACTTCGATCCCATATCCTGGTTATTTATTTATTTATCCTGGTAAATCAGCTTTAATGCTTACAATGATATAACAAATCATTTTATCGACATCATACAACTCTCTCTATCCGTTGTTCACAATGATAGCACATTACAATTACTTGTCCTCCATTAGCTTCCATATATAAATGACAAATATACGTGTCATCATGTAAGGTGGCAGCCAAAAACAGTCGGCAGGAAACGCATAGATACATTTCACACTCTTGAACAAAGTGTGCCTGTCATCTTGAATGGACTGATCCTCCCTAACACATTCGATCTCGAGTAACAACCGAATTCACAATCAAGGATGTTAGTACCATGTTATTCGGAATGCCATTGACTTTCTTCAACATTAAAGTTACACCTTGTTGAAGGGTACCTGACATCACATAACCTAGGTCTAGCGTCTCCTATCGACTACCTCTAAACATCGTCTTATGTTTTAACATACAGCACGCGATATCGAATCACTTACACTAGTGACCACTTTAAACCAGCACTAAGAAACACTTGACTCACATAACACTGATCACCATCCAGTGATCAATCAATTGTAAATAAATATCACCAGATTGTTATTCAGAGTGCATTGGGGAAATACATAATATTTATTATCAGATCAAACTGTCTTCTTACTTTACGCTACAAAAGTTCGAAAAAGAATGACTGCTTTGTTCGAATCTAAAACACTGTGTATTCAGATTCGGAAGAAGAGGCTTTAACAAGTGTCAGGATGTGGTAGAATGTCATTGCACTTTTCGGTGCACTAACAATATAATTTGGAAATACACCCCTTACTTCAGTGACAAAATTACCGTTACTTCGAGGCACCATAATTCTACTCATTCAAATTATAACGCTGAACACCTCTTCACTATAAAGCTATTGTTCCGGTCAAACATATATACATTATTTATCTTAGGAGTCTCACGAACTATGGTCGGTTGTTGTATGACAATCACGGTAAGGATTCAGAAAGGTTGGTTAGCCCTTGCTTAGGTAGGAAAACCGTCTCTTAACCAAAGGACGAGCATATTCTTCATTAGTCCTCTGCTCATTTTATGGTTGCAAAATGATCTCGGAGAGTAGAGGGCACGAATAGGTCACAGATTTTTGAGGAAATTACTTCCTCCAAACACGTGACTAATGGGCGGTCGCGCTCTAATTACGGCTATTTTCCTGGATGAATTACCGCATGACAGAAGCTTATAATCTCTGGATTTCGAAAAAGCATAAGCAAAACGAACTTCATGGATTGCATAAAATATATATTTCAATTCGGACAGTACAAACGACCTCATGCTAAGACAGAATTATCTCATAAGCATCAATGTGCCGTTACCGTTCTCACTACCCACTATCAATTCTTCCATTCGAGCTGACATTCAACTCGCATTATAGCATCGCTAGTCCATTAAAATCTAGCTATTAGCAGTATGACAGGACTTGGTAACGCTCGGAAATGCATACTGCATTGTTAAGAACCAACAGTATCCAATAACGTAATGTAGAGTGCCCTGGATGTTCTATCTATGCCTACTTCAAAAACGAAAGTATCAAGAGTTCGCATGAAGACATAGGCAAATTAATTATCAGAAGACTAAAGTCTGTCCTGAATTAACTTGTCAAGCAAGACCGTTAAAGCTATAGATAGACAAAATAATGATAACCAGTTCTAGATACGCGGACCAACGAGTAGAATTTCAAGTTGTGGATTCTAATCTCAACAAACAATTGATTTGAGCTTAGAAATCACATCTCGAATGATGTGCATCAACTCGGAAGCCTGTTACAAATTGCTTACATTACCATAAGTATCAGATACAATTAATTAATTGTGTATTGAGAAATAACTACATTGAAGGGTGAAAAACTACACAGTAATAAAAATTAAGGACTGTATCGGTCGACAGTACTATCCAGAAAATATACAACGGCAAAATACTACCAAATGAGGAAACTCGTTGTCTATGTTTATAAAAGAGTTGAGAAAATGGGTGTAAGATTAATAAAATCTACTTGCAATTACACTATTTCGAACCGATGCTAACAACAAACAAAACAGAACTACCGAGGTAGGTGTCGAATACGGTCTATCGATAACAATACCCTTAACTACATCATGCTAAAATATAAGCGATTTGTAGTAAAGCTCAACAGGGCCTGGTGCGTTTCTCAGAGCTATAATAATTAATCTACTAAAGTAGAATTGCGAACCATGAAAGGATTCAGTCATGAATCGACTTGCTATTGTACATTCATTTACAGTATTAAACGCCATTTTATGGCACAGAAGTCAACATGAGATAATCAATCCCTTTGATCTTGACAGAATACGATATTCATGCAGAGACGTTAGAACAGATTAATTAAGAACAGTAGTTATACAACGTAACTAGAGACCTGTGCTTAAGATCGTCACTAAAAACCTCAAACAACCTAATAAGCATATTATGCTAACGACAATATGCGCCTTAACTCGAGTAAACAGACTACTGAACAACAAGATTAGACTGCCATAAAATCCGATACTCTCATTAATGCAATCTTGTTCCCAACATGAAATTAGACTTTTGCTTAAAGCAATCTCTTGAATAAATACGAGTTTTAATAGCTTTGGTCAAGTATTAACAAGTTATTTAAGTCTGAGAAGATTAGATGATGAGTATCACGAGCAGCAATTGCTCAAGTAATGAATTTCTCGTAAAGTGAATTGATACAATTAAATATTTAAACAAATGAAAACGTCTGAGTGAACCAAACTGTACCGCCAACTGTCACTAAACACGGCACAAGTCTCGTTCGAAAAGAAAAAAGAAGGAATACTCGCAACAACCTTAAGAGCATTTTCACAAACGCAGAACTGACAAACCAGTAAGAATCGAATAAGAAAGTAAGGTTACTCGAGGGCTGAAAAAAATCGACCGACATTAAATGTAACACGTACGTCATCAATGAGTACAAGAAGAAAGAAGAAAATACGTTCATCGAAATGTTTTGTGTAGTGCCGTATCAAGGATCCATAGCATATTTCTGTGTCCACTCTCGAGCTAACTCATCATATTTTTTACGATCTGTTTTGTACTGACGTGCGACGTCCGGGCATAGAGGATCGTCTGGATTGGGATCCGTCAAAAGTGAACAAATTGAGAGTAGAACTAATTTAAACATAAGTCGGGTATTTATATACGAATATATACCTTTTGATATTGTTAAGGCAGGAGACCATTGTCCACGGAGGATATCTAAGCAGATACTACCACTGGGATTTATATTCGGATGATATATCTTCGTCATGAAACTGATCTATCACAAGGCTGGTTTGACAGTAATACAACGCTTACCTTAGGGGGTTTGAAAGGGTAGTCTGTGGGGAATAGTATTTTCAGGGAAAAGACTCCACCTTCATATGGACTATCAGCCTACAGGTATATTATAACAGAATAAACGGACGTACAGGTCCCATAATAGTGGCTTGCCATGCAAATACTAAATGTAATCTTACATAACATACATTGACTTACAATCATCGTGAATAGGCCCAGCTGAACACTGGGTTGGAGGATCTACGCTTAAGTCCTGTAACTCCTTAATAAAACAATTCTGCTGCACAAAAACACTGAACATGTTCTTACTTTAGATATACGCCTTAATGCCATTTGTACAGCTGAGGAACAAGGAATTCAAAATTGCGCGGCAGAATACCACAGTGAGCTCAAACGCCATTCACCTCGACTCAATACACAAGATTCGAATGGTTATGGATGGAATCGAAGAAGCTTTCGCTTAACAAGCCTCCGCGTCTAGTAGCGGGGGATTACTAATACCTCCAGGCAGGAACCTAGGTATATTAACGATAAAAGAGAAAAAAAATTGGTAAATCATAGTGAGATGCTATTCTTAGTCCTTAAGAATAGATCAAATCACCTCTTAAAGGACTCCTGGGAAGTCGCTTGGACTAGCTCAGCTGGCAGGGAATTCCAGCATTTGACAACTCTTAAGGAGTAGAAGTTGTGTCTGCAGTCCGTCTTACTATGTTGTATCTCCAATTTCTGGGTGTTACCCTTTAGGTTAGTATTGGGGCTAAGTTTAAGTAGGTGTTTAAGAGGATGATCAGAAGTGTTAAGGATACTTTAAGCCATCGGCTCCTATACTGCAATAGGTAAAGGTTGAGTGATTGGAGGCGCTATTCATAGGGTTTAAATTTCAGTCCCCGAACTGATTTCGTGGCTCGCCGTTGGACACGCTCCAGACTGTCCTTGTACTTTCGGAGTGATAGAGGAAATACTCAGTTTCCGTACTCCAAATGGGGACGAATAAAACTGTTGAAGATTATGTGGAAAATTCGTCCGTCAAACTGGCCAAAAATGCGCTTCAATGTTACCAGTGCAAGGTTTGCTCGAAAGGCATTTCTGTCACGGTTGGCGTAAGACTTTAAGTCTTAGGGCACCAGAACTCCTAAATCTTTTTCGACTAAAGATACTACTGGAGAGGAGTTTCCTGAGTTGTATCTGTAGTCTGCGACATGTCGCAGATGGACTACTTTATACTTTGAAGTGTTAAAGATAAGTCCGTTCTAGTCTTCCCAACTTTGAAGTCGAGTCAGATCCTCCTGAAGTGCCTATATATCGTCTTGGTTGCGCATCTCTCTCTAAAGTTTCACATCATCGGCAAAAAGTAATGTCTGACGAGACCTGTTGAGGACGATTATCTATATAAATCAAGAAGAGAAGAGGTCCTAGCACGGAGCCCTGAGGGACCCCACTAGAACATTCCATAGCCTGAGATAAATTGAAGTTGACCCTGACCTCAAAATGTCGATTTTTCAGATATAAAATGAGCCAATCAATTAGAGATGGTCTGATACCCAATCGTTCGAGTTTATCGATAAGACATATATGGGTAATCCTATCACAAGCTTTTGAGAAATCAAGGTAAATTATAACAACCTACCCCTTGCGATCAAGGATGCTTGTCCATCTGTCCACCTCAGTCAGCAGGTTGGTTATACAAAAGTAACCCTTCCTGAAATCACGCTGTTTGGGCGAGAAAAATTTAAGGACAGTAAATAGTCATATATATCATCGCATATCAGGGACTACATGATTTTTAAAGTTTTAGAGAGTAGAGCCACCGGTCTGTAACTTAAAGGTTAGCTGCGTCGAACTCCTTTGAAAATTGGTGTGATATGAGCCAGCTTCCAAGTTGCCGATAATTTGTCTATGTATATATGCATGTATATATATAGGCACCTCGAAGTAGTAGACAATCTTACAGAGCACAATATGGATTCCTCAAGTTTGTTAAACTCATAGTTGTGAACTTGGTGTACCTCCAAGCAAGATCGTATGTAAATGGCTACTCCACCCCAACTTCCTGTTTTTCTATCGTTGCGAAACAAAGACATTCCAGGTATTTCTAGCTTCTAATCCAAATATTGAGAAGATATCCAAGTTTCAGACATTTCTATCTGATGAACCTTATTAGCATTGCTAAGTTCACGTAGGTCACCCATTTTGTTTGGTAGTCTCGCGGCGTTCACGTATAATAAGTTTATGCTTTCGATTTGAAACGCGTGAGCTTCCTATTTGTCTGTATGAGCCTTACATAAGTGGACAGTTAGCCTACCTATATAAGGTTTGCCGGGTTGGTAGGCCCTGTCATTTACATATTTTTTTATCATAAAGACAGTCCACAAGTGGAATGGTCAGCTTCAACTTGCCTTTGTGTTTGATCATGGCATAATATGGCCTGTCCGGGTGCATGTGAATTCCAGTTGGCAACCGACGTCTGTTGGCATGAAATGCATGTACATATGAGGTACTGTTTTTATTTTATTTCTTTATTTTGCAACAATATCAACGTTGTTAGTAAACATATTCTACGAACTTCGTCTCCACTTTTTTACCTTTGTCGTTCAGCTTCTCGATTGACAATTTAAACAAACCAGTTTACGTTTTCATATTTACCGACTGTTATTATATCATTTTGTTGTAGATTTGTGACGTTAATGAAGTTTATTCTTCCATCTAGCTTCACTACACAGATTGTTGCAGCATATTGTCTGTCCAATGTCTGTTGCTGTCGAATATCCTTATTCACAATTATTGGTACATCATGAGCTGTTGACCTTCCAGATCTTCAGAAATGCTTCTTTGTATTCATCACCATCACACTATTCATTTGGACAAGACCTATTATTACTAGGGCCTTATCTTTACAGGGTTAGTTTCATTAGTGAAAACTTAATAGATTTATACACAGTAAGCCAATAGGCATTTTAATGTTCACTAACGTCTAAAGCAAATATCGTTTCTACGGATAGTGATCATTTAAATAAATACCTCAACGGCAAATAAGGTCGACCACAGAAATTGCATTTGATACCTTGCATTTACAATTCAACAATGAAGTCTATAACCTTTTGGTTATTCTGAGAAATCATCTTATGAAATTCCACCCTCTCACAACATTCATAACTGGTACACTTTACATGATTTAATACTAGTTCCTTATGAGTTGCATAAGGAAGTGAGATAGGCTTTTCTGCATATGCCCAAGATTTTAATAAACTGTAGGCTTCTTTTCCAATGAATGTAAGGAAATGTGCCACAACTTTATCACCCTTAACATCTTACTTGGTCAGGTTCCAGATTTCAAACTTTTCCAAACAATCCTCAAAATCTTCAGAAGTTAAATGGATATCTGACTGTTCCACCATGACGCTAATATGATAATTAAGAGTATTTGAATTATAGTACAAACGAGAAATCTCAGAAATAACGCAATTTAATCAAAAAGTACTAGATAAGCACGAACAAATATACTGTATTTGGAATTCAAAATCAAGCATTCAACAAGTACAAAGGAATCGTTGCTTCATAAAAACACCACATATTGTTCACTTCAGTAAAGTTCGAAATAAATTATGGAGTATGTAGAAAACCAATTGCCAATAGTCTGTACAATTTGACGACCAGTGCTCTCAAATCCTCAAAAGACAGTTAAGACTAGAAATTAAATGGATTGCGAATTTTACCGACCTAAATACATCTGAATCTCAAACCAATATTGTACACTCGATTAAATTCCAAAATAAATTACAGAGCACATAGACAAAGAAATATTAATAGTCTGTACAATGGGATGAAATTATTAAGACAAACAACAGAGTAGTAATGCAGAGGTTCAGCATCGTGTGTTCGGGCACAGAGACGTCAATCCAATCGGTGTCCTCATCTTGAAACACCGACTTCGGTGGCTTGGACATGTTCTACGAATGTTGTCCCAGAGAATTCCACGTCGCGCATTATTTGCCGACGCTGGGACTGGTCGGAAAAGGCGGAGAGGTGGTCGGTGTATGACATGGTGTTGTAGTGACCTACTTTTGTCAACAGAACGCGATTGGTTCGATGAAAACAATTATTATTATAACCAATTGTACCAGTGATTGTTTGATTGTGCTCGTTTGTTTAACTGTGCTAATAACAGCCATTTTAGTCCTCCATTGTATTCCATTGCTTTTACGCGGTTTTTGGACTACGCACGTATCTTATCTTGCCGATCGCAACTGTACTCCTTTGGCACGATCTCGGTATTCTTTCGATACCACGAGATCGCCAACAAATACATCTCGACTACAGCCATCATCTGTCTTCTGATGTTGACCTACGGGGATCTTATTGGTTAATTGGCACGTAGTCTTGTAGCGGTGTTCATAGTCAAGCTCAACTCGACACCACGCTACATTTGGTGAGCCAAATATTGGAATACGCCTCAACCTCGGTCAAATTTTTCAAAGAAGGCAATTCGGTGAGTCTATTGTTTTATCTATCCACGTCTGTCATATATTTTCATATTAATTTTTAATATATATATTTGACATGACGGATAACGATAAGAATAGTATTAATATAATAGACTCCGATGAACGCGTACCGAATCCTCGGCACTTTTTATTCTCGTGACGATAAATTCCACGCCTTATTCGAGAAATTCCCCAGAATAACTAAACCATTCGAGGAGATTTCATCGGTGACCAATCGTGTGGTACACCACATAGTCACCCGCGGACCACCAGTCACGGCAAGACCACGCCGACTGGCACCGGACAAATTAGCTTTTGCTAAACGTGAGTTTGACAATTTACTATCTGCTGGTATTATTCGTCCTTCTCACAGTCCTTGGGCCTCTCCTTTACACATGGTGCGCAAAAAGGATGGGGTTAGTTGGAGACCATGCGGCGACTACCGAGCATTAAACGTAGTTACGCGCTTTGATAGTCACCCCATCCCCCACATACACGACATCACGGCATCGCTCAAGAGCACGACTATCTTTTCTAAGATCGATCTGGTACGAGCATATCACCAGATCTCAGTCGCTCTTGAAGATATCGAAAAACTGCTATCACGACTCCGTTCGGTCTGTTTGAGTTCCTTTGATTGCCATTTGGATTACGGAATGCTGCTCAAACTTTCCAAAGGTTTATCGATAGCATAGTACGAGACTTGGATTTTGTTCACGTTTATATTGATGACCTGCTGATCGCATCATCAAACGTAGATGAACATTATCAACACCTTACGCTATTATTCCAACGTCTTTCGGATAATGGAATAGTAGTCAACCCAGAGAAATGTGAATTGGGTAAACCAGA